ATGAGAAGAATGAAAAGAAGAATGAAAAAGAAGAATGAGAAGAAGAATAAAAAGAAGAATGAAAAGAAGAATGAGAAGAATGAAAAGAAGAATGAAAAGAAGAAGTATTCCAGTACAGCAAAAAGTGTATCTGCAGAGAGCTCCGCTATTTCTGACAGTTCTCTGACAGTTCCTTCACATTTACAGCGGTTGAAACATTGTATCTGTTTCCGAATAAAAACATCTGTATCCTAAATGGAAACACACCCGAAGTAGGCAAATATTCGGATTCGACGCGAATCGAATTTTTCCTGAAATTCGAAACGAATTCCACTTCGCCTGGTTCGATTCGCTCATCTCTAATTATATGTTTGTAATTTGAAAATTGATTTTTATTTTATTTTATTTTATTCATTTATTTTTATAATTTACAAAAAGGTTGTGTATATATATATATATAATAGCCAATCACGTTCAAGGAAAATTAAAAAAAAACTGCATTTTTGCATGTATATGAATGGATGATGGAAATCATCTCATTCATTAAGCTCTGGGCCAAGTTTATTTGCAAAGTGATCATTCTATTTGCCTTAAGTAAATCAACCCCATTGCGCCTAAATCTTTTAGAACGACCAGACCTCCGACTATGATCAAGGCACCCAGTCTCCTCTCCGCATTGCCTGCAATGTGCATATTTTCTCCACATTGGGCATCCTTTATCATGGACATGCTTAATGGACCATTGTCTCCGACACAGCTTGTAAATTGAAGACATCTTCCATGGATCGAATTACACATCTGCAGATGATGGAAGAATGCTTTAAATCAAAAATTCCATATTTGTATAAACAAGTTAAAGAGTTATAGGCCTAAAACCAAAACTGCGGTGCCACTTATAATCCTCGGAGGTCTACACAATGCCCTGAGGAAACTTCCATCATTCAGATTAATAGCCACCTAAGGTGCTCATTCACAATGCACTCCATCTGTGTTGTAGACATTGAAGTCTCCCTCAGCAGTTACTAAGCTCCATATAAAGGTGTCTTTATGGTAACATAATCCAATGACCTGTCAAAAAAGTATTTTAAATTCTGCATCATCCAGTCCAAAACCTTGTCGAAGCTTCTAAAATCCAGAAAAAGTATTTTATGCAAATAATTAAAAAAAAAAACATCCATGTTAACAAAGGGATGAATTAATTTGCCACTAATCATTTTATAGAATCGTTGCCAAAACTTCGTCTCTAGCAAATGTTTTCCCTTAATTAAAATGTCTTTAATAATGTCATGAGATAATAGCGAACATCTTATTTTTATGTTAATTTCTGGAAGAATTATACATGGAAATTGTTCACAGAATCACTGCTAATTATTTCATGACATTAGATATAAATCAGAAAGGTTTTATAAGACAGAAAATATAAAAAATCAAATAAGCAGATAATTGATACTAAATGTTTATATCTTTCTATTTGCTGTCTCAGTTTTATTGCTATCTGTTCTGGGAATACTAAAAATTTAAACCAGGATCTATTTGTTCTTTTGAAAATGTTCTTTGATTTGATTTTTTTTTTTTGCAAATCCTGGCAGAAATTCAGTTTTCTTGAGTTGTGTTCTGTTTTTTTTGTAAATGTTCTAGACTGTTCTGAATTAGTTTTGGTATCCTTGTAAATAAAAAAAACAACATGTGTCCGAAGGAAGTGTACGTGGCTCAACTGCCCTATGATCACCTCTGTGAATTTATGGAACATATTATTTTATGCGATACCCGCCTCTTCCAGGTGAGCTGTAATGGGGTTTGCGCTCTTCCCGTCACGTTTCAGCCATGAAAGAAAACCCATACTGAGCCTTAGCTTTGCAGACAATACACAGCCTTCCATTTCTGATAGGATAGTTCCTGGCCTAAATCATTGACCCTGGACAAGAATGCAGCAACTGAAATCAGAGAATAGTCAGACTCATTAATTTGCATGCCTGTGTCTGGGTCATTAAGTCAGAAGCCATTGAAGCCATTGGATCAGCATAACAAGGAGGAAACTAGCATTTTAAAGGAGAAGCCAACAATGGGAACCTACACAGATCCGTCGGTATGGATTTACTCTAAACCTTGCAGTACACCTGGACCTGTTTCTAGAGACTAAATCATGGTGTTCTGCACTGATGAGCTCCAAAAGACCTAAACAATCCTAAAAGATTACTAACTAGAATTTGTAAGCATCAGGGAGAAACTGACTACACAAGCCCATTATCTACTTAATAAACCCTAACAGGTTGGCCTTTAGGTGCTCAAACCAGTGTTGTACGGGTATAGTGCAAAAACAATATCACGGTGTAGAATTATGGGGGAACTAGGGATGAGGGGTGAAATTTGTTTGATTTCACTTTCATCAAGATTTTGCCTCCAAATAACTCCAATGCCAACAACATCTCAAGCGAATAAACTCTTCCATGCCATGGAGGGATGGGTGAGGTAAAGATTTTTTTCCTTTGGTAAAATTTTGGCAAAATGGGTTGGTCTTAAATGAAGGTGAATTTTTGCCAAAATTTCACCAAAGCCATAATAAATACTAGGATATGTCACTGTCCTCTTTGGAGCTGACCCACTATTGCTCGATTTATTTGGGCAAAATAATGGTGGTAGTAATAACGAATATCCAACCCAGTACATTCCTTTATGAATGAGTCTGATGATAACATAAATGCAGGTCTATGCAACAAATACATATTTGTATTTTTTGCTAAGTTCCTTCCTGAACCAACACAAACTAGAATGATCAGTTGACAATTATTGGGTAGGCCAAAATCACCAAAGTCAATTGGCATGGAATGGGACTGCTGATTTTCATAACTAAATCAAATGTACCCTAGGACAGATCTGACTATGCATACAAACAAACCCAACAGTAGAAAATTTTTGGCAACCAGGGTTCCATGGAACTCTAGGTTTCTTCCAGAGGTTGCTAGGGGCTCCTTGAGCTGAGACTGATTAACCTCCCATTTGATGGGGCCCAACAATAGAACCCATTCTCAGCCAGGCTTTCATGAAACCCTAGGCTTAATCCAGAGGTTTCTAGGGATTCCTTGAGCTGATGCTGATTGACCTCCTATGTCAGGGGTCCTCAAACTGCGGCCCGCCGAGGACATTTATCCGGCCCCGCCGGGGGTTCTAGCGGCAAGATGAGTTCCCCTATGAAGATGTGTGTCCCTGACGCATCTGCGCATGTCACGGTTTTCGGCAGAAGTAGCCGATCGCCGATCAACAACCATAGCACAGAGCTGTCACAGTTAACCCCTTTTCTGCTGCACCGCTGATTACACTTACACACGCCGCTCATCCCGAGGATCACTAGCTGCCGATGCTCCAGCAAGATGGATCAAAGATGCGTATTGGGGAGCATCATGGATCGGAGAGAGGACAGTTACATGGGGGGGGGGGTTGTGACATGAGGAAGACACTGAGATGTGGGAGGGGTCAGGGACATGGGGGGGCCGTGACATGGGGAAGACACTGACATGTGGGGGGCTAGTGACATGTGCTGAGGACAGTGACATGTGTGGGGGTCAGTGACATGTGCTGAGGACAGTGACGTGTGGGGGTCAGTGACATGGGGGGCTGTGACATGCGGAGGACAGTGACATGTGGGGGGCCAGTGACATGTGCTGAGGACAGTGACATGTGTGGGGGTCAGTGACATGTGCTGAGGACAGTGACATGTGTGAGGGTCAGTGACATGGGGGGGCTGTGACATGCAGAGGACAGTGACATGGGGGGCTGTGACATGCGAAGGACAGTGACATGTGGGGGACCAGTGACATGTGCTGAGGACAGTGACATGTGTGGGGGTCAGTGACATGTGCTAAGGACAGTGACATGTGTGGGGGTCAGTGACATGGGGGGGCTGTGACATGCGGAGGACAGTAACATGTGGGGGGCCAGTGACATGTGCTGAGGACAGTGACATGTGTGCGGGTCAGTGACATGGGGGGGCTGTGACACGCGGAGGACAGTGACATGTGGGGGGCCAGTGACATGTGCTGAGGACAGTGACATGTGTGGGGGTCAGTGACATGGGGAAGACACTGACATGTGGGGGGTGGGGGGGGGTTCAGTGACATGGGGGGGCCATAATATGTGAACAAAACTGCGGGTGTCATTAACTTTTTTTAAATATAGTCCGGCCCTACAACGGTCTGAGGGACAGTTTGAGGACCCCTGTCCTATGTGATGGAGCCCAAAAATAAGACAGACATTCTCAACGAGTGTTTCAGAGAACCCTAGAGTTAGTCCAGAGGTTGCTGGGGGTTCCTTGAGCTGGGACTGATTGACCTCCCATTAGATGCTGCCTGCATAGTTCTGGGGCTAGTTCCACTTGGCTGCTTGATACCAATTATCTTTTTAGCTGTCTGACCCACCACTGTAAGTAGGGCACTCTTGCCACTGGTCACCAATGTAAGGGACATTTTTCTCACTGATGGCCAATGATTTGGTTTTAGCAGGAGTTCCTCAAAATCTGAAAATTATTTCAAGGGTTCCTCTGAATAAAAACTATGAGAAATGCTGCAATAGATAGAAATAAAGGCCAGTGTTAATGATGATGCTGATAATGATAATCATTGATATTAATAATATTTTGCAACAAATTTAATTAAAATATCAATCAAAGTATCCAGCTGGCCATATTATAATGCCAGACACAGACAGAAGACCTTTTTTATGTAACACAAAAAAAGGTGGTCTCTCTCCTTCATAACCAGTTTTATGTACAGTAGAAGTCATTTGTTCCCCTTTGAATCATTTCATACAAATACAGAGATGTGTAAAACTTCGGTAAATAAACGGGGTGACGCATTACATCTTTTCTCATCAATGCTCGTATTACCACAAATCCACGGCATCCAAGCTGCCACCACAGATATGAGAACAGATTTACATCAGGACAGTATGAATATCTGCTGTTGATTCTCACAATATTTCACTGATGTTCTAGTTAAGTAGAAGATAAATTTTTTGCTCCTTTTCAGGCAATATTCAAAATGATTAATGCCGAAGACCAGAAGCATCTACCGGAGGATGAGAATACCCCAGAGAAGAGAACAAATAAAATATGGGTCTACTTTGGAAAGAAGGACGATGGTAAATCACATTTTGCATAGAAAGTAGAATTTCCTCTATATGCCCTGACAAATTGATTGGATATTTCCAGTATGTTCCCCCCCATCTATTGCCTATCTTAGCCGGGGCGAGGGGGGAGATAACTCCATTCCAAAATATAGGCCAAAACTAAAAATATTTTGGCACATGATAATTTTGTGGAGGGCCTCTGTATGATGACCATACAGGTTGAAGGCAATGCCTTAGTGCTGATCTAAAGTCTCTCTTCTGGGTCGGGATGTTGCGTCTGTTCCCTGAACCTGTGTACACTTGGCAGAAGTGGCTTTGGTCAAAAGTTATTATTATTATTATTATTATTACACAGCATTTATATAGCGCCAACAGTTCGCTCAGCGCTGTACATTATAATGGGAGACAATACATGAGACCGTACAATAACAATACAATACAATACACGAGGGGTTCGAGGGCCCTGCTCCTTGGAGCTTACAATCTAGGAGGGAGGGGAGAGTGGTACAGGAGGAAATAAAAGTAATAAAGAATGCAGCACTACACTCAAATCATAAAAATATGTGAATGTGGGATCCCAAAATATCATATAAATTAAATAAATGTGACAGTGTTAACAATAAATATTAATTAGTGCTCATCAATAATACCATCAACACAAATATAATAAATAGCTCAAAACATGTGAAAGAACATATGGATACTGTGACGCAACGCGTCGGCTCGACGTGGTGACGTATTTCGGGCGTAGCGGCCATCTTGGTACACCTGTGTATCCAGCTGTACACCCACACAGATATATCCTCATCTGAAAGCATGAGGTTTTCTTGGACTGGCTGCTATGTAAGTCTAAATGCTTAAATGTTATCTGTCCCTATGGTATAATTAAAAATACTGCACTATGGGAGGATTCCTTTGTCTCATTTGAGAGATTGATAGGGATCCACTACTGCTCTTTGATCCGCAAGGGTCGAAGGGATGAGGTGAGAGGCTTATCCAGATGGTGGTTGGATTCTCAGATTTATACACACTCAGAAATCTTGCACGAGTTTCACTATGGTCACTAACAGTATTATTTGGAAGCACCGTTTACTGTTTTGTCACCATTAATATTTTTTTGGACTTTGAGATACACTTTCGTTTTGTACCATTATTATGGTTATTTCACTTCACAACAGGCACGTGTCATTATATCATATATATGTGTAGTTTTGGTTTATGCATATATATATGGATATGTTTTTTTTAGAGATGAGCGAATCGAACATGGCGAAGTGGAATTCGTTTCAAATTGGGTATTGGGAAATATATTCGATTCGCGCCGAATCCGAAAATTAGCCAACTTCGGATGCACGAATCGAATTTTCCCAAAATGGCGGCGACATGTGTGGCGACGGAGCGGGGATCTCTGGGAAGGCGCGCAGACAAGGCGCGCTGACCCTTAATGCATTCATTCATGACATGTGATCGCATTAGCCAATCAGCAGCCAGCCAGCCAGCACTGTGTAATGGTCGAGCTATAAATTGCGGCCATCTTACAATTCTCCATTAGCCTGCGGTCATTCAAGAGAGACAGACCTGTCTGTATTAGGGACAGAGTTAGGGCCAGAGAGACTTTAGGGCCACAGAATCGTTACTTAGGGACACAGAATCGTTACTTAGGGACACAGAATCGTTACTCAGGGACACAGAATTGTTAATCAGGGACACAGAATTGTTACTCAGGGACAGACACAGAATTGTTACTGAGGGACACAGAATTGTTACTGAGGGACACAGAATTGTTACTGAGGGACACAGAATTGTTACTCAGGGACACAGAATTGTTACTCAGGGACAGACACAGAATTGTTACTGAGGGACACAGAATTGTTACTGAGGGACACAGAATTGTTACTCAGGGACACAGAATTGTTACTCAGGGACACAGAATTGTTACTCAGGGACAGACACAGAATTGTTACTGAGGGACACAGAATTGTTACTGAGGGACACAGAATTGTTACTCAGGGACACAGAATTGTTACTCAGGGACAGACACAGAATTGTTACTGAGGGACACAGAATTGTTACTGAGGGACACAGAATTGTTACTGAGGGACACAGAATTGTTACTCAGGGACAGACACAGAATTGTTACTGAGGGACACAGAATTGTTACTCAGGGACACAGAATTGTTACTCAGGGACACAGAATTGTTACTCAGGGACAGACACAGAATTGTTACTGAGGGACACAGAATTGTTACTGAGGGACACAGAATTGTTACTGAGGGACACAGAATTGTTACTCAGGGACACAGAATTGTTACTCAGGAACAGACACAGAATTGTTACTGAGGGACACAGAATTGTTACTGAGGGACACAGAATTGTTACTCAGGGACACAGAATTGTTACTCAGGGACACAGAATTGTTACTCAGGGACAGACACAGAATTGTTACTGAGGGACACAGAATTGTACTGAGGGACACAGAATTGTTACTCAGGGACACAGAATTGTTACTGAGGGACACAGAATTGTTACTCAGGGACACAGAATTGTTACTCAGGGACACATAATTGTTTACTCGGGGACAGACACAGAATTGTTACTCAGGGACACAGAATTGTTACTCAGGGACACAGAATTGTTTACTGAGGGACACAGAATTGTTACTCAGGGACAGACAACAGAATTGTTACTCAGGGACACAGAATTGTTACTGAGGGACACAGAATTGTTACTCAGGGACACAGAATTGTTACTCAGGGACAGACACAGAATTGTTACTCAGGGACACAGAATTGTTACTCAGGGACACAGAATTGTTACTCAGAGATAGACACAGAATTGTTACTCAGGGACACCGAATTGTTACTCAGGGACACAGAATTGTTACTGAGGACACAGAATTGTTACTCAGGGACAGACACAGAATTGTTACTCAGGGACACAGAATTGTTACTATCAGGGGACACAGAATTGTTACTCAGGGACACAGAATTGTTACTGAGGGGACACAGAATTGTTACTCAGGGACAGACACAGATTTGTTACTCAGGGACACAGAATTGTTACTCAGGGACACAGAATTGTTACTGAGGGACACAGAATTGTTACTCAGGGACAGACACAGAATTGTTACTCAGGGACACAGAATTGTTACTCAGGGACACAGAATTGTTACTGAGGGACACAGAATTGTTACTCAGGGACACAGAATTGTTACTCAGGGTCAGACAGACACAGAAATGTTACTCAGGGACACAGAATTGTTACTCAGGGACACAGAATTGTTACTCAGGGACAGACACAGAATTGTTACTCAGGGACACAGAATTGTTACTCAGGGACAAGAATTGTTACTGAGGGACACAGAATCGTTACTGAGGGACACAGAATTGTTACTCAGGGACACAGAATTGTTACTCAGGGACACAGAATCGTTGAATTAAAGAGTATGTCAGACAACACGCAGAGGAGTGGCAGAGGAGGCAATGTTTTAGGATGCGAGCAGACGTGGCAGCAGAGGAAGGGGTCGAGGCAGCACTAGTCGCAGCCAGAGGCCAGTGCTCCTCGGTTGTCATCCAGCGGGTCGTGTCTCCGACAACAGCCATCATCGATTGGTTGGCTCGGTCGTCTTCCTCTTCCCAGGTCACCTCTGACACCTACAGCCAACGGTCGGTGGGTCTCGTCAGACACAAACGTTTAGTTGGCATGGCCAGCGGGAAGCAAGCCCACTGAAATCACGTGTCCTCTACCTGCCCCTTGTCCTTTGGTGTTCCCTCACCAAGTGAAGTATCGCATGCTGTGGGCTCAGCCCCACTGTACAGTGAGGAAGAGCTAACAGAGGGCGGTCAGGAACGGGGGGAGACATCCGCCTCTTCAGCAGCCTAGGCGAAGAAGAAGAAGTACAGGCGAAGAGAGGAGTGGCTCGGTAGCCGGTCTAGAGAAGTGTCTGTCTCCTGACCCCACGCAGCCGAGGGGGCTAGTAGTGAGGCGGAGACCTGAAATTGATGATGATGAGGCTGATCGCACTTGGAGAGCCTGTCGTCATCTTGCCCGAGGCCGCTCCGTAAATCCTGCCATGGGTCCCCCGTACCGCGCTCCTCATGCTGCTGCCAGGCTGTAATCTGTCATGGCCCCTGGTACCGCCCTCATGCTGCTGCCAGGTCCTGTATTCGGTCCCTGTACGGCCCTCCGCCATGCTGCGCTGTCTCTCATCGCCACACTGTGCCATGTGCCACTTTCAGGTTCTCTCACACTACTGGTGGGATGCCATTTTTGTCTTAGGGTCGCTGGCCGATTAACGGGCCTCCCTGCTGACGCAGGCCGTAATCTGTCTGGGCCCATGTACACGGCCTCCTCATTGCTTGCTGCCAGGCCCCGTAATCTGTCATGGGTTTCCCTGTACTGGCCTCCCATTGCTGCTCCATGCCACACACTGTATGTGCCACTTTCAGGTCTCCTCACACTGCTGGTGGGTTCCATTTTTGTCATCATAGGGTGCTGGGCAGATTTACGGGCCTCCCATTGCTGCTGCCAGGCCCGTAATCTGTCATGGGGCCCTCCTGTACCGCCTCCTCATGCTGCTGACCAGGCCCGTAAATCTGTCATGGGTCCCTGTAGGCCTCCATTTGCTGTGTCTCCATCGCCACTCTGCCATGTGCCACTTTCAGGTCTCCTCACACTGCTGGTGGGTTACATTTTTGTCAGTAGGGTGCTGAAGATTACGGGGCTCATTGCTGCTGCCAGGCCCCGTAATCTGTCATGGGCCCTATGTACCGCCTCCTCATGCTGCTGCCAGGCTCCAGTAATCTGTCATGGGTCCCTGTACGGCCTCCCATTGATGCTGTCTCCATCGCCACACTCTGCCATGTGCCACTTTCAGGTCTCCTCACATGCTGTGGTGGGTCGCCATTTTTGTCATTAGGGTGCTGGCCGATTACGGGGTCCGTCCATTGCTGCTTGCATAGGGCCCGTAATCTGTCATGGGCCCCCATGTACCGCCTCCTCATGCTGCTGCCAGGCACGTAAATCTGTCATTGGGTCCACCTGTACGGCCTCCCATTGCTGCTGTCTCCCCTCGCACACTCTGCCATGTGCCAACTTTCAAAGGTCGCCTCACACCTGCTGGTGGGTTCCAATTGTGTCATAGGGTGCTGGACAGATTACGGGCCCTCCCAATGTTGCGCCAAGGCCTCATCTGCCATGCCCTGCCAGGCCCGTAAGCCGTAATCTGTTCATGGGTCCCTGTGACGGGCTCCCATTGTGCTGTCTCCATCGCACACTCTGCCTCAATGTGTCCACTTTTCAGGTTCTCCTCACACTTCTGGCCTGGGTTCCATTTTGTCTAGGGTGTGGCAGATTACAGGCTCCCATTGCTGCTTGTCAGGGCCCGTAATCTGCCAAGGGCCCCTGTACCGCCTCTTCATGCTGCTGCCAGGCCCGTAATCTGTATGGGTCCTGCTACGGGCTCCATATCTGCTGTCTCCATCGCCACACTCTCCCATGTCCCCACTTTCGGGTCCCCTCACTACTGGGGGGGGTTTCCCCATTTTGTCATAGGGTGCGGGAAAGATTAGGGGGCCTCCCATTGCTGCTGCCGGGCCCCGAAAATTTGTCAGGGGCCCCTGTACCGCCCTTTTGCTGCTGCCGGGGGTCCAGAGTGTGTCATGGGTCCCTGTACGGCCCCCCTTTGTGCTGTCTCCATCGCCCCCATTTTGCCATGTGCCCTTTCGGTTCCTAAACACTGTGGTGGGTTCCTTTTTTTGTCTTAGGGTGCTGGCAGTTTACGGGCCCCCTTTTTCCCTGTGCCAGGCCCGAAAATCTGCCAGGGGCCCCCCCGTCCCGATCCTATGCTGCTCCCAGGCCGTAATTGTCAGGGGCCCCCTGTCCCGCCCCCTTTTTGCTGTCCCGGGCCCCCAGGTGTCTCATGGGCCCCTGTAGGGGCCTCCCCATTGCTGCGGGCTCCATCCACCATCTCCCATGTGCCACTTTCAGGTTCCTCACACGGGTGGGGGGTTTTCCTTTTTTGTCATAGGGTGCTGGCAGATTAGGGGGCCCCCCTTTGGGTTGCGGCCGGGCCCCGGGAAATTTTGCCATGGG